ACCATCTTATTGCCTTACTCGCAGTGTTATTTAAAACATATCTATATCTATCTATCTATCTATCTATCTATCTATCTATCTATCTATCTATCTATATATATATATATATATATATATATATATATATGTGAAAATACATTCATTCAACCTTTATTTATACAGGTTAGTCTCAATGAGCCTCGAGGACTCATTTACAAGAGAGACCTATTTTAAACAAAGAATGATGACAACAGTGGACAATAAAATTTTTAATTTGCACATACATGTGAATGAATATTGAGGTTCAAGGTTTTTTATTTCATTCACATCACATGTGGTACATGAGGTGGAATGAAATTGTGTACACAGGATCCCAGTTACATCCAACATCATCAAAAAATTACATTACAGATTACATTAAAATGGGCAGCACGGTGGAGCAACTGGAAGAGCTGCTGCCTCTCAGCGAGAAAGTTGCTGGTTCAAATCCCGGTCCGGGGGCCTTTCTGGGTGGAGTTTGCATGTTCTCTCTCTGCATGTGTGGGTTTTTTCCGGGTACTCCGGTTTCCTCCCACAGACCAAAAACATGCACGTTAGACTGATTGGTAACTCTAAATAGTCCCTAGGTGTGAGTGAGAGTGAATGTTTGTTTGTACCGGAGTAAACTCGCACATGCATGGGGAGAACATGCAAACTCCACCCAGGAAGGCCCCTTGACTGAGATTTGAACCAGGGTAACCTGCTCGCTGAGTGGCAGCAGCTCTACTGTGCCACTGTGAGCCCAACACTGAATCAGAAGAACCATATTTCCCAGAAGGATGCAGTCATCTTGTTGTTCTCGGAAGTAAGGTTAAATTAGAAAACACACATCTGTGGTTAGGCAGCACGGTGGCACAACTGGTAGAGCTGCTGCCTCTCAGCGAGCATGTTTGGTTCAAACCCCGGTCCAGGGGCCTTTCTGGGTGGAGTTTGCATGTTCTCTCCGTGCATGCGTGGGTTTTCTCCGGGTGCTCCGGTTTCCACCCACAGACCAAAAACATGCATGTTAGGCTGATTGGTAACTTTAAATTGTCCCTAGGTGTGAGTGAGAGAGTGAATGGTTGTTTGTCTCGTTTGTCTCTATGA